TCTGTAAGATAGTCTGCCTAGCAACAGCTGATGTTAGCCAGTCAGCCCGCATCGCGTGCTTTGAACTGATTGGCTACTGTTGCCCTATAAAAGTGAATGCCTTTCCCGCCACGAGAGGAAGCACAAAGAGGGATAGAGAAAGTCCACCGGCGAGAAAGGGCTGGTGGCAGAGAGGAGGCCTCGCGGGGCCCACGTGGAGACAAATAAAGGCAAGGTTACACACTATCAGAATCTGTCGCGTGTTCTTCCTGCAGGCCGGGAGCGACATCGACACCAGATAACACCTAGTTGCATCCCTCTATCTTCCTTTGTGCCAGGCAAGAGTGATGTCTTAACCAAAGGTATTGCAATGGCAAACAGAAACACTGAAATGACTCCCAAGATTTAGAGGCAGATTTATTTATGTTGATGGGCACTGATTGGGATCGTTCACAAACTATCAGGCTCTGATCTCTGGTAGTCTAGGGCTTACATGGGATAAGCAAGCAGGAAATTCAAAGGCAGAATGGCTTGTCAATTGGGGATTGGTTCTTACAATGTGTATCATACTAACCAGCCATTTCTAAGAAACAAAAGTAACAGAAACTGTAACCAGAACTGTTACCTGAGCAACTGAAGTATACTGGCTGGGGCAGCATTTCTGCCATAGTACGATCACAAAGTATCTTCAGTTTAGATCACCTAACTCCCCTTTAACTGTATAAAGCCTAGTGAGTAATCAGAGAACTCAAAGTAGCATGTATATTTCTAAAATATGCTTTATTTTCTCTGCTATATTATGTCACAGGAGTCAGAATTAGATTTCAGGACCATAATAATCTACTGGACATAAAAGCAGATTTGTTAACTGAAAGACCAGGGTATGTTTTAATAAATAGTACTAAGAATAAAATGTATGAAAGTGATTTCTGTAAGTTGGGTTCTGTAAGAAGCAGACTCTGAGATGAAAAATGGTACAGAGAAGATTTATTAGGGAGTAGCCCAAGAATCAACACCTTGCCAGGACTAGAAGGAAGCAGAACTGGCCAGGCATACATTGAATTGCAGTGTAAGGATGGCTTCAGCTGGCCCCATTGAGTGTTTAGACTGAGATCTTCCTTTAGCATTGTCACAAGTGGAGCCTGTGATGTGGGCCTTGTCCCCCCACCATAGAGATGAGGTACTGCCTATGAGCTGTCCGGAGAAGGGAATGGGACTTTGGGTGAGACGGCTCTCTTCATATGAGGACCTGCACATGCCAGTCAGCCTTCCCAGAACTGGAAGAATAAGTCCTCAGTCCTGACATAGGGACTCTCTGAAAACAGGTACAGCGCCCACACCAGTTCACCCAGCGTCACTCAGATCCATTTGCTTCCTGTGAGTTCAGCCACTTGTAGACCTGGAGGGCACATTCTCTGGAGAAACTGATGAGAAGGTCAGCACAAGGAAGCATAAGCCACTGTGACGCCTATCAAGACTGCAGTTGGTACTCGCCACTCTCCTCCTCACTGTTACTTTCTCGGTCTCTCACCCTTCCTATCTCGATGGCTTAGTTAGAGGGCTGACCTAGACATTCAGATACAAAGATCTGGGCCTATGGTGAATGTGTGCACTTACAATCTAAACTAGCTACTGAGAGATGGTGGCAAGCCTACTTCCCCTTGGTGGTCAGGTCAGGTGACCTCTTCCTCTTCTTGACTTTCATCCCTTGGCATGAAGAACCTAAAGTGCTATTCTTGAAGTTCAGTAGGATTCATATGGGAACAGTCCCCCCAATGGAACCATTACATCTACAGTATCTAAATCTGCAAAACAATGTTGTAAAAGGAAGCACAAGATGCTAAATGGCCTCTGATGTGAGGAGAGTCCTCTCCTACATGTCCCCTGTGGTTGCTGAATCTATGTATTCTACCTGTTAAGGACACAGGCCAGGGCTGGGGCTGTGACTCAGTGCACAGGGACCTGGGTTTGATTCCCAGCACCACACACACTCATACACATGAATTATTCATCCTGGAGGATGGTGTCTCAAGGTCAGCGTATCATATTTGAGCTTTGTCTCAAGCCATGTCCTCCATCATTCTGTCATGTTAATGGCATGTAGATGATATGGTGTGGGCCAGAACTGGTAGATCCCATGGTGATATGCTCACTGCTGCACTGAAAATCCTTGCTGTTATTCCATGATGCAGGGCTGTAAATCCTGTTGCTGAATCAGACACTGTAAACCTTAGGTATTAATGTTACTAGAAACCTCATGGGCAGGAATGGTGAATCTATACGTGGAATTCCTGTCCCTGAGAACAAATCCCTTGAATTTCCAGGATGAAAGAGACCTATTATGGATGACTTGCTACCAAGGTCTCTGTTATAGTTCAGGTCTAAAATGTCCCCCAAATGTCTCATGTTCAGAGGCAGAGCTTCTGGAAGGTGATTGGATCATAGGAACACTAGGGAGTTCACAGATGAATGTCTTTCCAAGGAGATGGAGCCTTGTTAGAGGAGACTGGGAACCAGGACATGCCTTTGGAAGGCATAACTCTCACTCTGGCTATTTCTCTAGCTCTCTGCTTCCTGGAGCAGCTTTCTTCTGTCATACCATTTCTGCCTTGGAGCCAGCTAACCATGGACTGAACCTTCAAATAAACCTCTATTCCTTAAGTTGTGGATGTCAAGGATTTTATCCCAGTTATAGGAAAATGATTTACAGAGTCTCCTTAAAAGACATTGCCTTGCTGGGGATATAGCTCAACACCTGCCTGGCAAGCACGAGGCTGTAACTTTGATCTCCAGTACCAAAAAAAAGACAATGTCTTGTCAGTGGCTCAGCAATATAATCTGTTGCTAGTGCATTGGACAGTTGGCAGTGTCAGTATTACATAGCTCAGCGGCACAAGGCTTGCCTGGCAGATGCAAAGTCCTGAGTTCAATTCCCAGTACCAAAAAAATAAGTAAATAACTACATGGGCAGTGGGAGTTCATGCATAGCCTCTACCCCTGCCACTCATGAGCTCTTAGTGCTTGCTAACCTTATGGGGGCCTAGTAACAGGTGCTGGCATCTGCCCAAGTCCGTTTGTCTATGTGGTTACTTATTCCTCTTCTGTGATGAGATGGTGCTTTCTAGTGGGTATAAACATTTGATACTGAGATCTTCCCACTTGTGACTTCTCTCTGTGGTCCAGACACATGCCTTGACTCCAGACTTGTTAACCCCTAATCTTCTCAAGTCTGCTTTAGGCTCCTGATCTACTTATCACATTGATCACTGTCCATAAAATTGAATATATCCTGGCCTCAGGCTGCTCTTCCTTCCACAGAGGAGATGACCAGGAACATCACCTAAAGCCTGCCTGTTGAGGGATTCCCTCTCTCAGCTGTTTTTCAGGGCCACTCTTGATGGGCAGGGTCACAGCTGTCATCCATCCTTGACTTGCTCCTACTATGTACCAGAACGATCTATGCATCAACCCAGCTTGAATTTACTCCTACTGTATCAGCCAGGCATGTGGCCACTGATACAGGCTGAGGGAGAGACAGCACATTGGTGCTGAGGACATGGGGTCACTGGGGTGTGACCAGGAAGGGTCCATCTCCCTCCTTCTCCTTTGGTCTGTTTCCCAATCCCACACTGCTGAGTTGTTTCTCCTCTCCACGCCCCTCTGCTATGCCACCCTGCCTCAGAGCCAGACAACTAAGAAGTGAAACCTCTACAAACTGTGAGTCAAAACAAGTCTTTCTTCTTCAGAGCTATGGGTGTCAGGTATTGTGCTTCTGTGATGAGGAAAGTAACTAAAGCCTCTCTTTGGTGGGTAGGAATAGGTATAGAAAAGAAAGTATTTAGCCGGGCGTGGTGGCTCATGCCTGTAATCCCAGCACTCGGGAGGCTGAGGTGGGAGGATCTTTGCGAGTTCAAGACCAGCCTGCGCTACAAAGTGAGCTCAAGGCCAGCCTGAACTGCATAGTAAGACCCCGTCTCAAAAAAAGACCAAAAAAAAGAAAAAGAAAAAGAAAAGAAGGCATTTGTCAGGTCATTGACTGCCTGCAATCTTCCCAGAACTATGTAACTCCTCTTGAAAAAGCAAGACAGCTGGTGCAAGCTGCTGTGGGTGGAACCACTGCCTGACCAAACTTGTGATCACCCACAGTCGCCCTCCAGGAGTCATCTGGTTTCAAGGCCCGGACTGCTAAATGAAATGGAGATATACTGGGCACCAGCACTGTTGTGTTTGATTGGTTGATTTTGCTTTTTCTTTCTGAGAAAAAAGGTTTTTTCAGTTCAGGCTGGCCTCAAGCTTAGAGCAATTCTCCTACCTCAGCCTTATTGTGTTCTTTAGGTTTTTTTGGGGGGAGGTGTTGTTTGTTTGTTTGTTGAGGCAGGATCTCACTAGTATCCTAGGCTTCTCAAACTCAAGGCACTCCTCTTGCCTCAGTCTCACAAGTGCTGGGATTACAGGCATGCTCCACCACACCAGGCTCTATTGTTCTTTAGGGTTTTAAAGGTACTACTGACCTTTAAAATTCTCCTAGGATTAAATATTGTTTTTTATTTATTGGCAGAGACGGGGACAGAAGTTTCCAACTGTTCTTTTCCACTGCGATAGCTCCTATTACACAGGTCAAGAAATCAGTGTGGGTGTTGTGTTAACCACCAAGCCATTTAATTATGTGTTTAGGGCCTGGGAAAATGACCACTGTGAGCCAAACCTGGGTGAAGACTCCACTTAACTGAATACCTAGCCACCATCTGCTCCATTATGAGGGAAGCCATGATTTAAAGATGTTTTGCTGGGCCTGGTAGCACACACCTGTACTCCTAGCACTTGAGAGCCTAACACAGGATGATCATCGTAAGTTTGAGGCCAGCCTGGGCTACATAAGCGAGTTCAGGGCCTGCCTGCATACCTAGTGAGACCCTGCCTCAACAAAAAGTAAAAATAAAATATATTTTGTTAATACTTCTAGAGAGACACCTGATGAGAAATAATTATTTCTTGAGTTTAGAACAAGATTTCCCAAGCACTTTGGTTATACTTCTGCTTTAATAGAGGAACATTTGAAAATAGATAGACATCCAGGAAAGCAGGATAAAGCAATAAAGCATGAAAGCATGAGGTATTAAGACAACAACTATCAAAACAAAGAGACAACTATTCTTTATCTAGGGTTTTAAGTTTCTGAGCGTAACAGCAATCATCCTTGTAGGTAAATGTCAACTAGCTCTCAACACATCCAGTGGTAACAGTACAGTAAGACCCCTTCACACTGAAAACCACATCAAATATTCAATCTGTAAATTCACTGTATTTGAATTTTTATCATAAGTAAAAGCGTATAACTATAAGTCACAATCAGAGTCAGGTTCCTAAAGACATGGGTATGAACTACTGCCAATCAGCTTGCTTCTCAAACTGATTTTTTTTTAAAAAAGCATAATTAACTTCTTTAAAGCAGTTTTATAGACATGGGAGTCTAGTTATTTTCAATGATGTTGGTCAAATATGATACCAAAATATGCAGGTATTGCCGCTGGGAATGGTGTCAAATGTCTACAATTCCAGAATTAACTTGGAGGATCACTGTGAGTTTGAGGCCAGCTTGGACTACATGGTAAATAATCCTTTAAGAATTTATGAAGAAAAAAGAGATGATTAAAAATTAAAGTTCTTTTTCAGATGTTTTAAATTTTTTATAAAACTCTTTTCCTCAAGACTAATCATTCAACCATGGTACACAAAATACACTGAATACATTGCCTGGTATCAAGGTGGGAAACCCCTGACTTTTATATAATAAAATCCTCTTCTGTATCATCTTGACCCAAGGCCTGGTTGTCTAAGGGCAGATTCTTCCTGAGGGGCCTAAGGTTGTAATAGAAAGCATCCTTTTCATCTAGTGGTTGGTAGTCCCACTGTCTTTCAGCAGGATAGTCCTTCTCAGAGCTGCTCCCAAATCCAGATCCTGATCCGGATTCTGATTCTGAGCTGGAGCCAGAGCCGGAGCCAGAGCCAGGGTAGTCCTCAGAAAGGGGGAAGATATCGTTCAAGTTCTGACGTTTTCGAATCCTGAAGGGGGGGGGAGATAAAGTTTGATCCATAAAGAGCATGATTATATTTTTAGAATAAAGAAATAAATGCAGTCACCCCATTGCTCAATTTGAAAGAGATAAAAGCTTCCAAATTATTCAATTCCAAATTCAAACCTTGAGTGTGTGTTAACATTTACTTATTACACCAAACACACTCCCCTTACCGAGTCCAGGTTACCCACTGCAGACTCAATAACAGTGCTCTTATTACCAAAAAAAAAAAAGTCAATTCAATATTTGGAATTTACTTTTTTAAAAGAAGACCCCAGCCAGGCATGGTAGCGCACTCCTGTAATCCTAGCACTCAGGAGGCTGAGGCAGGAGGATCTTTGCAAGTTTGAGACCAGCCTGGGCTACAAAGTGAGCCCAAGGCCAGCCTGACCTGCATAGTGAGACCCTGTCTCAAAAAGCAAAAAAATAAAATAAAACCCCTTTATTTCATTTTCTCTCTAGAGGACAAACCTACCCAGAGAACATTTTTCATACCTAGAAATTTCCATAAGATTTCTAATAATTTACAATGCTTCAACAAAGCTTACATTTGAGACATTCTTTGTAGTAAGTTAAGCATTAGATTTATCAACACATTAACATTCCATTTCAAGAAAGAAAGAAAGAAAGAAAAAAAGATCTCCCCTACATATCATGTCTACGGTCAGGAGGCCGAAGGCACTGCAGGATGAGCCACTGCGTGCAACCTGAATGTGCCAGTTAGAGCCCAGTGGTCACCAAAGATGAGGGCAAGGATACCACCCTCCTCCACAGATCAGGGCCACAAAATGTCAAGAGGCAGAAGGTCAGTGTCCCCACTTATAGGTCATTTTCTCCATGAAAATAAGCCATACACCATTAGAGTTTTCAGTAATGCATGCATTTTCTGTGATTTTAAATCACCATTATCTAATTCCAGAACATCTTGACCAATCATCTCCCCAAAAAAGCTAGAGCAGCCAACTCATTCCTCCCTCTTCCCGGCCTCAGGCAACCACTAATCTACTTTCTGCCTTTAGTGATTTGTCTATTCTAGGTCTTTCAACTAAATGGAATAATAGAAATTGTGGTTTTTTGTGTATGCTGTCTTTCCCTCTGCTTAATGTTTAAGGTTCAGCTACACTGTAGCATGTATCACTATCTCATACTTTTTATGATCAAGTATTCCATTGTATTGATACACCACATTGTGTTTATTCATTCAGTTGAAGGACTTTTACTGGATTTTAATATCTAATATACTGTTTATACAATAAAATGAATTTTAATCTTTACTACACTTTACATAAATAAAACAGTCTTGAATCATTTTCAATACCTGTCAGTGGAAAATGCTGAATTCCTGTTTTTGCCACCCATGATAAAAGTTTGCAAAACCAGAGGTGAATCATGCATATTTGCATACCTCTGTCTACCAGCATACATGGTAGTTTTACCAGGTACTACACAATGAAAACCAAACTACCAGAGCAGGAGCTTGAAGGGAAGCACTCTCAATGGTCCTCCTAACTTGATACAAATTTCAACAGAGGCTGTAAATTACAGTCATATTGCTAGGCATGGTGGTACACACCTGTAACCCCAGCCCTCAGGAGGCTGAGACAGAAGGATTACTGCAAGTTTGAGGACAATGTGAACTACATAGTGAGTTCACGGCCAGCTTGAACTACATAGTGAGATCCTGTCTCAAAAAGAGAAAAAAGAAAATAAAGAAATAAGGAAAGACAATAAAGGAAAGAGAAGAAAAGAAAAGAAAAAAGAAATTACAGTCACTTTAATATCAGGGAAAAGTCCACTTACAGAAAAGGGTCAGTCTTTGAAGGGAGGATCTCGTTGTAATCATCTGTAGGTAGGTCGAACACTGGCCCCTTTTCTTCAATGCAGTTTGCAGAATTACTGTCAGGACTGCAGTGTACCCACTGGTACCTGGCTTTCCGCATAGGGTAACCTGCCCAAACAAGAAACCCACACAGGCAAATAAATATTGTTTACCAGGCTTCTCAACATCTGCCCCTTAGAAGTTCTCATATAAATGGATCCTAACTCTGCAAGCAGGTAGAACATGCACAGGTTTTATGACCATTGCTGTAACCACAGCACACCTGCCCCAGCCTTTCACCTGCACTGCTCGTCTGATCACGGCATTCCTATGAAGTAGCAGAAAGTTTAAGGGGTTAGAATTGGCTTTGAGTCAGCTGCCTGAGTAGTTCTTCTACTAGCCAGCTATGAAAACTTTACATCCCTGAATCCCTGCTGGAAAATGAAGGGCCAGAAATATCAGAAATTTGTCATAAAAATTAAATGACAAAATGCATGTAAAGCATACTTGATACTACACTTAATGCCCAAGCATATGATAAACACTTAATGATATTAACTTTTATTATACTATTAGATTTGATTTTTATTTGTTTGTTTATTTATTTTGTCTTTTTGAGACAGGGTCTCTTTATGAAATTCAGGCTGGCCTCAAGCTCACATTGTAGCCCAGGCTGGTCTCAAACTTGCAACAATCCTCCTGCCTCTGCCTCCTGAGTGCTGGGATTACAGGCGTGCACCATAGCTCCATTTTAGGTTTTTTTTTTTTTTTGTCTTTCTCATTTTTATTGGTACCAGGGATCGAACTCACGACCGCCTGCTTGCAAGGCAGGTGCTTATGCCACTGAGATAAATCCCCAGCCCCCATAGCTCCATTTTAAAGAAAATTGAGGCCACAAAGGTGCTAGGTGGAAGGCACAGGATCCCAAAGTCTGCCTCTTTTTGCAGAGAGGAGCAGGCATGGTAACACACACCTGTAACCCCAGCACTCAGGAAAATAAGTCAGAGGGGTCACCACAAGTTTGAGGCCAACCTGGAATACATAGCGAGATGTTAGCTAAACAGAAAGAAAGAAAGCAGGAAAGGAAGGAAGGAAGAAAAGGTTCAAGAATACCAAGAATACCCTGAGAAGCACTCCAGGCATTGCAGGGGCCTAGGGTCTGCGTTTGGGTCCGCGTGGTGTTCTTAAGAATGAAAAGTAGATGAACACTCATTCTCTTTTTCTGTACCCAGATTTCCCAACAAGATTCCTCTATTTACAGAGGGACAGCATGATTGGAACAGTCAGATATCTTGCCAATTCTTTCAATTTCCACAGGAAAACCTCTAAATCTAGCATTCTGGAGTTACACAGGAAAGCCTTCATTATTTCATGAAATACATTCTTCACGACTCCGTTCAGCGAGGTCAAGGGCCTGGTGGGAAGCAACTCCGTGCCATCCTTTACATGGTTCCTACCTCCCCAGCCAGGCACACACTTCACCCAAACAAGTGCTGCCAGTGATCGGCTGCAGAAGGGGCACATCTAGAACTCCTGGAAAGGTGACTCTGAAGCCCAGCTCCAAAGAGCAGGAATCTCACTCATGAGAGGATGTTAGCTAAATGGTTAGAAAAAATTACTTAGAGTAATTAGCAGTGCAAGTAAACCTATATTCATGGAAGGATTAGCTGGGGCAGTTCAGCGGGACTCCACACACAGCATGTGCAAGGCCTTAGGTTCAATCCCCAGCAACCCCACGTTTTGTTTTGCTTTGTTTTGTTTTTTTGTTTTTTTGTCTTTTTCCTTTTTATCGGTACCAGGGATCGAACTCACGACTGCCTGCTTGCAAGGCAGGCGCTTATGCCGCTGAGCTAAATCCCCAGCCCCTTACCCCACGTTTTTAAAATGAAAATAACTGAAAAGAAAAATCAGAATGCCACTTCACACACATATTAGTTTCAATAGCATAAACATATTGGGGACAATGACATTTTTGTGCAAAATACACAAAAATGGTGGTGTAAGCTTTGGTGATTTTTTTCTTTTTCTAAATCACTGTAATATGCAATATTCCTCTGAAATATAAACATTCAAAAGACTAATTCAGAAAGAAAGCAAATACTGTACTTTTGGCTGGCTACCCTTTCACTCTTCCCTTCTCTCCCTCCCTGTCTCCTTCCCCCTCTAGGGGTCCACTGCTCTATCACAATCTTCCCCGTGGTTGCTGAGTGTAGGGTATAAGGTCTGGTCTAGGAACCAGGTGTCCAAAATGGGTCAGGTCTGGAGACAAGGCAACCACGATGGCCACCCAAGGTCGGCCCCCTCCTGACTGCGTGACCTTGGCCAACTTACTTCACCTCTCTGTACCTCAGGTTCCTCATCTGTAAAATGAGAGCCGTAATAGATGTGATGATAAGATGCAGATGTTAAGTTCTTGGAATGGTGACAGCACCATGGTCAGAGCTCTTCATTGCTAGTATCTCTCTCTGATAAGGTGGGAAAGGAAGAAGATGACAACTTTTCTCTGATGGCAGATAGTTTGTGGGGAGACCAGAATTTAAATTTAAATACTTTAAATTCCCATTCTACCAATTAATATCCTCTGTTCTTAATTTATCATCTTTCAAATGTATATGACTTTAGCAAAGACTTCCTGTTTAAATAAATAAATGTGTGTGAAGCATCTAGCACGAGATTTTGCACATGGGAGGTGTTGACTACTCTTTCTTTTTTCTTTTCTGATTCTTTCCTGAGGCAGCATTTCTTTGACATCTAATTACTGCTTAAGAGGCTCTTGAAAGTGTACGAAAATTTATAGAGGTGTTTCTTTCTGACGAGTGATCTTTTCGTACATCTCTCCAGCAGAGGGCGATGTCTTCACATCCATGCCGTCCACACCAGCGCTGTCCAATAGAACAAAGCCTACACACGGAGTTTGAAATGTTTTAGCAGCCCCATATTCAAAGGTAGAAATAAAGCCCTCTGCGAGGATGTACAGCTGTAACCCCAGCTCTCAGGAGGCTGAGATGGGAGGATCACTCAGAGTTCGAGGCCAACCTGGGCTACATAGTGAGTTCAAGATCAACCTGAACTGCGCAGCAAGACTGTCTCAATAAATAATAAATAAATGTAAAAATTTTAAAAAAAGATAAAATTAATTTTAATACACCACTTATTTCAATCTTCTAAAAATATTGTAATTTAACATATATTCAACATATAAGATTTTTTCCTTCCTCTCGCCCCCAGTGCTAAGAATTGAACCCAGAGCCTTACATGTGCTAGGCAAGCACGCTATCCTTGATCTCTAACCCCAGCCCAATTCGTGGAAATTTTTATGTTCTTGCTTTTTTTTTTTTTTTTTTTTGTCTTTTTCGTTTTTATCGGTACTAGGGATCGAACTCACGACTGCCTGCTTACAAGGCAGGCGCTTATGCCGCTGAGCTAAATCCCCAGCCCCTGTTCTTGCTTTTTCAAGCTAAGTCTCTCAGACAGTGTATACTATGCATATAGAGCGTGTGTCACTTGGACTCGCCCTAATTCAAGGCCTCTGTTACCTGCAGGACAGAGTGGGTGAGGGCAAGCAGAGTCTCTACAGGTGGCCGATGCACTGAGCATCAGGGTAAGAAAATGTTGCCTGGGCTGGAATTTAAACAACACAGTTGAACTAATCCTTGCTTGTTTGCTTTTTCCCAGTGCTAGGCAAGCACTCTACTGCAGAGCTATATCCCCAGCCCAGGGTTAATGCTGTATGAGGAGACATCCCAGTGAAAGACCACATCTTTCCAGCTGGGTGACAGCTATGACTTTGACAGATTAGAAAAAAAATTTGAAATGCAAAGTAACCTCCAGCATTAAAAATTTATAGAGGTGTTTCTTTCTGACGAGTGATGAAAACATTCTAAAAGCTACTATGGTGATGGTCACACAGTTCTGTGAGTATACTAAAAACCATCTGATTGTTTACTTTAAAGAGAAAATTAATGCTATATGAGCTTTACCTTAATTAAGCTATTCTAAAAATTTATACAGACATCAAAGATAGAAGTCCTTCCACTCCAAGAATTCACTGAATGTAGGGCTGGTGATGTTAAAGGTACTTTAAAATAAACAACATAGTTACAAAAACAAAATTCCAGACATAGTTATTCATGGTATTGGCAGGATGTGAAAATTCAAAGTTCTGTCCCCTGAAGTTACGAGAGTTCTTAACTTTATCTTGTTTGAGATAAATGTCTTATGATTATCATAGTTTTAAAAACGAAAGGAAGACAGAACCATTATCTTCCTTTTTTTTTTTTTTTTCTTTTTCATTTTTATAGGTACCGGGATCAAACTCAGGACCTCCTGCTTGCAAGGCAGGAGCTTATGCCCCTGAGCTAAACCCCCAGCCCCCCCTATTATCTTCCTAAAAGGACCCACTTACCAAAAATCTGCGGGATCATTATGTGGTAGCCTCTGGAGAATGACTTTTATTTAAAACCCTTTCCCTGGCCACCCTTCCAACCCCTACCACCACCACCCACCCACCATCGTTTCCCCGCCCCCGCCCCCCACTGCCACACTCACCAGCTCTGCCCTAACAGCACCCTGTCTCTGAGTAACTCTTCCTAAGCAAATGACTATCTCCAAGTGTGTCTGTGTCTTCATATTTTCCTTAGCAAAGCTGACATTTTTCCCCTACCATAATCACAATTTACCCATTTCCGACTCTTTGTGGAAACTTACTACAGATGTGTTAGAGAAACTTAAGCAGAAACTGCCATGAGGGAAAAAAAAAAGTATTATTTGATTCATTCAAAATGGTAGAATTTAAGCAGTTGTTATTATCTAAATTGCAGTTACTTCCTACTGGTGTATCCGGCCCACAAATGCAGACGCTTCCCTCACTCTTGTGTGGTGTGACAAGCTATAAAAAGCTCCACATTTACTTTCAATTTTTCCCTTAACTCAGTACTGAGTAGTAATAGGAAGGGTTGTAGTCAAAGGAAAGTTTTTCATTTTGTAAAAACAAAACAAAACCACAACAAAAAAACAGGCCAGGTGTGGTGGCGCACACCTGTAGGTCAGGCCATCAGAACACTGAGGCAGGAGGATTACTGCAAGTTCGAGGCCACCATGGGCTACACAAGTGAGTTCAAGGACCTCCTCAACTACGTATTGATACCCTGTCTCAAAAAGACCGAAAGAACAAAACAAAATCCTGCTAATCTACACATTGCAGTAGAAATTTAATTCTGACCTTGAAACCAGATGACTACTATTTCTGCCACTTGTCAGTTATAACGGGCCTTGGACAAAACACATTTTTGCAAGAGACTGACAGAAAGAACAAATGAGAGAGCCAGATACGGTAGCTGAAGCAGGAGGAGGATTCATGGGATCCCAGGCTATCCTGGGCTATGCAGGCCAGCCCAAACAACTTAGTGGGACTCTGTCTCAAAAAAACAAAAACAAAACGAAACAGAACAGAACAGAAACCAGAGGGCCAGGGATTTAGCTCAGTGGCATAAGTGCCTGCCTGGCAAGCACGAGGTTGTAAATTCAATCCCCAGTACAAAAAAAAAAAAAATCAATGAGCTGTAGAACAGAACCCATTGAGATGATGTAGTTTTCTCTGTCAGGTGGTACTAATCCCTCCTCATAGTGAGCGGGACAATCATTACCACAGAGAGTGGATGTGAAGTCACTTTACAAACAGTCACACACATGGGTGGACTCAATTCCATTACCGTGATCTAGGAGACAGTGTAGCATGAGCACCCGGGCTCGCACAGGCCCCCGGTCCACACCTGCTCATGGGTTTTCTACTTTATCCCTTTCCAGTCCAGGCATCTTTGAGAAAGAGGCGATACAGTGTAGGATTCATAGGCCTCCTCAGCAGTCTCCTGAAGCCCACAGTGGGTTAATTAGCCACCTGTGTCCTTCATCATCTGCCACACACCCCCAACTCCCATGTCCTGGATCTCTGTACACACAGCTTTACATCGTGTCTTTACTTGGGTTTATAAAAGCAAGTACAAGTACGTTACGGGCTAAATTATGTCCACTGCAAAGTTCAAACACCAAAGTCTACCCAAGGACCTCATCATGTGACACGATGTGGAGAGAGCCATTGAAGACACAGATGAGGGGGGAAGAAGGCGCCATCCATACGCTGAGGAGAAAGCCCTCAGATGAAACCAGCCTCCAGGCCCTTGATCTCTGATCCCCTCTCCGGAGGAAATGGAGTGTTTAAGCCACCCAGTGGGCGGTGCGTTGTTTTGGCAGCCCAAGGAAGGGAGACTGTAACCCAAGACAGTCTGAGCAGCTCAGGGAAGGCAAGCCTTGAGACAAGCAAACATTTTCTCTCTCTAAAACTCTTTTTTAAAAGGTAGGAGGAGAACCCTACGGCATCCTGGGGCTGTGGAGGAAGGTGTAATGACACTACATCTGCTGTCACTAAAGTGTGGCCACCGTCTGTTTCCCTTCACATTCAAAGGCAAGTGCGGGAACCTGAACCCCCCTGCGCCCCTGGGGGACGCCTTCGTTTTCGGATTATTCACTGTCTGCTTTCTGGTTCCCTTTTCCAACAAATAGTTCAATCTACCAGACGACATAAATGTTAGGATTTTCTACAGTTTCGGGACGGTTTCGCTCTTACTTTCGTTCTAACGAATGTATATATGAGGAAAGGTTTTGTTTTCATCCTGGTTTTAACCTATTGAGTCAGTGCAGAACAAACATATCGGGGAAGTTTTGGAACCTTAAAGGCCAGCACCAACTAACTGGACATTCAAGTCTGACCCTCCACTGCCACAACTGTGGACCTCGCAGTGCTCAATGCTCAGAGCACACAATTATTAGGAAATCCTTACAGCAAGCTGGAGATTTCTCCCAATGGTCCAAGAAAAGCTTGTCCTTTATGCACTCTCTTTGTACTCAAATAATAAAGAGGTAAATTGGTCCAGGGATACAGCTTAGCAGCACAGCAACTGCCTGGCAAGTGCAAGGTCCTGAATTTGATTCCCAGTTCTAAGAAAATTTTTAAATAAATAAATTTTTTAAAAAACAGGAGAGTGGAAATGTTTTGGCAATCTGCTGTTTTTCTCCAATGTAAGTGTAACTGAAAGAAAATCTTTTTTTTTTTTTTTTGTAATTTTCAATGTATAAGGAATTTCTCTGAGCTCATCTGTGAGATTATATTGCCACCGGAAGTAAGCATGTAACAGCCAAAAGTCACTTCGAAGAAAAAAATCCAGGACACGTATGTCATTCTGACTCAACATTTCCTTTACCATTTGTGGAAACTTAATGTTTTTCTCCTGTAAATTCTGCCATCTATTTATCAGGCAATGACCTTTTGTCTTGTGAAGACAAGATTCCTTATTTACCAAAGGAGAAAAAAAATTGTATGTTTCTTACAAACTGGTATTTTATTTTCTTAGTGAATGAAAGTCTTTAAATTGTTTCAGTATGACTAAACAGCCCTTAAAGATGAAGCAATTTAAAAAGATATTTCCAGGCCAAGGATGGTGGTACATGCCTGGAATCCCAGCAGTTGGGAGGTTGAGGCAGGAGAACTGCCATGAGTTCAAAGTCAGCCTAGATCATGCAGTTGAGACCCTGCATCAAAAAACAAAGACATTTCCAAATGTGGTGCTTCTGTGAGTGACAGCACAAATACTAACATTCTTTGGGATTTCTTTAAATCTGAGAAGTTCTGTATTAACCCTGTAACCATAATTGCATCTGCTTCAGTAAGATCCCATTTTTAAAAAGAAAAATAAGGGGCTAGGGATTTAGCTCAGTGGCATAAGCTCCTGCCTTGCAAGCAGGCAGTCATGGGTTTGATTCCCCAGTACTGATATAAAAAGAAAAAGACGAAAAAAAAAAAAAAGAAAGAAAAGAAAAATACACACAATTTTTTTTTGGTATTTTTGAGACAGGGTTTCACTATGCAGTTCAGGCTGGCTTGGGCTCTCACTTTGTAGCCCAGGCTGGTCTCAAACTTGCAACAATCCTCCTGCCTCAGCCTCCCAAGTGCTGGGATTACAGGCATGAGCCACCACACCCAGCTACAGTCAAATTTTTAGAAGTTCAGAAAATAGTGTCTCCCAGTGTTATAGTAACAACCCTCTCACAGCACATTCAAAACTTGGGATTGACGAATAAAAATGTGTTATGTTCGGGTACTAACTCCCCGCAAGGAATGTAGTCATGGGCTAGGAAAAAATAAAAGGTGAAAAAAATAAAATTTTTAAAAGTTGGGAATTGATGTAGATGCTCAGAAGTAAGAAGATACCCCTAAATACTCTAAAGTGCCATCCATCTTCATGCAACAACACACGAGAAATTTTCACTACTCCTTTCTTGACTTATAAAAATTTATAAACCACACATTTACACCCAAAAATAAAGCAGCACTTTTTGAGCACGCTAAGAGTCTATAAGGTGACACCTGCTTCAGAGTTTAATTTTTCTTGGCACCAAACTGAGTTGAACTCACCCCAGAGAATCCAACTACCCAGCTCCTTCTGCTTTACCTTCTTTCTCAGAAGGGGATACATTCTGTGCTTTAAAATGAAGACAATCATCAGTGTGGCCTCTGGGCTCACAACTAAAATGACAGGGACTAAGATTGCTGGGTCTTACCTTGCACTGAAGATCCCAGAGCCAGGATGAGGACTAGGGCCAGGCCCAGCCTCCCGCACGTGGGCAGCGCCTGCATGATGAGCCGCTCTCCCCAGCACGCCAGCCTCGCAATTAGGAAATGCTGCAGGGTGCTGCTCTCTGTCCCTTTTAGAAAAGGCTCCAAAACCTCAACCCTGCCCAGAACACACGTCACGATTTCCTGAACAAATAGAAAGAGATCCACATCAAAACTCAGCGAAAAAGAAAAGAAAAGCAGCAAAAATAACTATTCATACCCATTATGAAACTGTACTGGACTCTCCCCAGATCTGCTTTCTCAAAACTTGTTGTTTGCCTCTAATCTGTTAGAATTTCTTGTCCTTCCATCAAAACAGTAGAATCAACATTCAGGACAGTTTGTTTTTCCTTTCTTCGGGTAACAAACTAAACACAGGATCACTAACCCGAAGAGTCTACTGTACTGCTGATGAGATAAAGGGAGATGAAATGTTAATTTTTCTTTTTCAAAAAGGAGTTGCCTAACTCATTAAGTCAAGCTAGAGAAATGAAACTTCCACACTAAGTTCTCATCTAGCAGAATGAATTGTCGTATTTGTTTCTTCTTATTCAATTTTTTCATTGGCTCGCTGGTTCTCTCTCTACCTCAAAAATAGGGTGAACATTTGTGAGTTACCAAAAAAGAAAAAAGCTTAGTAAAACAAGAATTCTTTTGCATTCTTTTGCTCCTTCACACTAAGTCTTTCTTATGATGTGGTACCAGGCATACTTTATCTTTTTCTCTTGGTAAATTTTTTTAGTTTGTTTTCGGGTCCTTTGGCCTTGAACAAGCCAGAAATCACAAATGAGGGGAGGTTTTCTTCTTAGTGAGCTTCTGGATGTGAAAACACACAAACCACCACTCCTTGTCCATTAAGGACAGTGTTTTTCCCCCACGGTGGTATGGATTTTTGGAGAATCCAGCTCCACCTAACAGTCATGCAGTAATTAAGTGGTCTGTCTGTCCCACATCCTCGCCCTGAGGACACAATAATTCCTTCCCCATTTGAAGATGCATCCACTCTCCATTCTGGTGCTAATACCTGCAGCCCCAGACACATTAGAGAGCATATATTCCACTTCCATTTTATGCTCCGATCCGGTCCTTACACACCAGGGAGGGGTTTCCCTTCCCTTGTTGTGGACTTCCTGCTGATTCCTTACTGTTTCCTGCTAAGAGCGGCCTCACACTCTAACCCTGAGCCGCCGGGCTACAAGGACAAAAAGGGTGCACACGTGGCTCTCCTCAGAGCCAGCCAGAGGTGCGTCCTGCATCAGGGCCCCGTGGGAGCACAGCACCGACTTCAGACTCACAAACTCTGCAAGCTCTCCACTTGGGACTACAGTAGTGGATTCAGCTTCAAATGTTAGACCTTGTCTTTGGTCTCTTCGTCCTAAGCATCAATTTAAAACCCTGGCACCAAAATAGTTCCTGTCAATAGCTCCAATAGGTTTCCTGCGAAGCCTTACAGCTAATCAGAACTTGTGCTTGAAACTGATCATTTGAGGGACTTTTCTCACTTGGATTCTTCATTTTTTTTCTATCGCTACATCATAATTTTTTTTTTTAAGTACTGGGGATTGAATCCAGGGCCTTTGCATTAAGCTACATCTCCGACTCATTTTTTATTTTGAGACAGGTTCTTGTTATGTTGCCCAGATTGAGTTTGAACTTTCAGTCCTCCTGCCTCAGCCTCAGGGTAATTTCTAAAAAGTATTTGTAGAAGCATCATGGTACCATGAGGTCTGGGAGTACTGCAGGTGAAAGAGGGACCATATCTCTTCCTGTGGGTGCTTCAGGCATTTTCGGAAGCAGTGAGAAGACATTTTCCCCACAGAAAGTAGCTATGACGATTCAGGCCGGAGTTTGCCAGTGCCTGGTGGTCTTGGCAGGCACCCGCATTAGGATTTCAGATCTCCAAGGATCTCTCCAGCAATGTCCAGCAGTCCAGCGTCACGTACCCAAGACCACCTCTGTTTTGTTTTGCTGTGCTGAGGCTAGAATCCACAGCCTCAGGCATGCTGGGGCCACAGCTCTACTATTAAGCTGTTTCTCTGGCTCCAAGGCCACCTTTAAACTTGAATTTTTCCTTCACAACTCCAGGCACTTTTTCACTTTGGCCAATGAGCTGGACCCTGCATCTATGAACCCAATGTTGCTTATTTGCCTTTTGGCTGCTCCATGACAAGGGCCTGATAGTCTGCTACACCCAGACTATCCATTGGCTTCAGAGAGTCTGGTTTCCCCAACTCTAAGCTGGTTGGAACCTTGGTCTCAGCCACCTGAACCATCTGTCAAAGACCCACCCCAGAGGAGGACTTTAGGCTGATGTGGTAGGGGACAGGACTCCCCTAGCACTGTGAAGCCCTCTGTCAGGTGGAACCTTGTTCTAGCTTGTCTGGGGCCACACAAAAGTCAGGGCCTTCCTTGATCACTTATCAGCCAAATGTCATCCAGACTATGGTTTAGGTCACAGTGTGGAAGGGGTGGTAGAGCCTGCAGACTGCATAGAAGATTTGTGGGACCCTGTCCAGCGGGAAACTGGCAAGACAGACAAGAACCAGGACTGATAACTCCCCTATGTACCAGACAGCTCCAGAGATCTTCAGCCCATTGGCATCTGTGTGTTTGTCTCTGCAGCTGGAGCTTGGAGGGTTTTTTTGGTTTTTGTTTTGTTTTTTTGAGACAAGATCTCCCTATGTAGTTCAGGCTGGGTTTGAGCAATCTTCCTGCCTCAGTCTCCTTCGGCAAGTGGGGTTGTTGTTGAAGAAAATCTTTCATTCTCACATGAAACACATTTTAGTAAAAACAATTTGCAGTTTTTGCTCTTCCCCCATTACTGACAGCTGATAGTGCCTTTGCCCAGGTAGCCTTCCCCTGGGCTTGGTCCCCTGGCCCTCACCCTGAGCTACGGGCAAGCAGCATGGACAGATAGCCTCGAGCCCCAGGCCCGAGCCCTTCTCTACCACGCCCCACCCAAGCAACAGCAGCCCCTTATTCCTCACACCTCTCTTGCTGCAATCCCTCTGGACCGGGACCATCTCCTTGTCCCACATTTCCCCCATTGACTAAAGAAGACTTCCCTTTTCTCTAAGCCTCAGCCTCTCCAAAGTGCGTAATTTCCAGAGTTTTCAAAGCCAAATTCTACTCCAAACTTACTGCTCCATTTGCCAGATCACCTGAAATTGCATCTATGTTACTTCACAGCGAGCGGAGTTGCCTATAAAGTGGGCACCTTTATTTCTCAACCATCCTGTGCTGTGGTTGGAATGTGTCCCTGAAGTCCAAGTGTTGGAACTTAAATCATCAAAGTCTCATGTTGATGGTGTTTGAAGGTGACTGGCATTAGATGAGGTCACCAGGAAAGGACACTCATGGTGGCACTGAAGGAGGAGGGAGAGACCCAAGCGGGCAGCTTTGTGTCTGGCCACTCAACGCCTGCCATTGTGTTTTGGTGCAGCAAAAGGCTGCTCTCTAGGGAGAGCAGATGCCAGGGCCCAGCTCCCGGGCTCCTCAGTCTCTAGAACTTAAAGAAACTAATTTCTTTCCCTTATAAATTACCTGGTCTCAGGTATACAGTTATAGCAACAGAAAAGAGACTGTGACCCTGTGATGAAGCAAATCAATTTCTTGTTGTCTAACAAAGTAACCTCATAACACAAAACTCACTAATTACTGATTGCGGGGTAGTTTTAGGAGGGAGATCTATTAAGAGCTGCTGAATCTTCCTAGAATTATAACTTATTCAGATGTAAGATTTTCAAAAGAGATGCCGAGAGCAGCACAACAGAACAGCTCCAGTGCCCATTTCTTTTGTTTGTTTTGTTTTTTTGAGGCAGGGTCTTGCTATGTAGCTCAGGCTGGCTCTGAACTCACTATATAGCCCAGGTTGACCTCAAACTAGCACAGATTCTCCTGCCTCAGTCTCCCAAATGGGTTTACACATGTGTACCACCACAATGCAAGGCAGCTCATTCTTTTTTAAATCCCCAATTTAAAGATTCCACTACTAGGCAGCCTCTGGGACTTTTTCTTAGCTCTTTCTAGAGAGGGTCTTGAGTCTGAACTCAAGTACTGCACCTGAAAAGTAAATAGCAAATAGATCCTGTATTAAATATGTTTCTGGTGCCTTAAAGGTTGATGCTTACAAGCTTTGGTTTTTTGTTTGTCTGTTTGTGTTTTCTAAAATGGAAGTAGTGGCACATGCCTGTAATTCCAGCATTTGGGAGGCTGAAGCAGGAGGATATTGCCAGGAGTTCGAGGCCAATCTGAATTATATAGCAAGACTCTGTCTCCAAAAAAGAAACCATCTGAGTCTCATCCTGTTGTGGGAAACAAGTAAGTCTAAAAGGGTTCCATGGCTGGCCTCTGGTCACACAGCGAGGGAGGGTCCAGAGTAGGAAACTCACAGTTTCCCATCCCCCTTCCTTCACCCCCATAGTGGGTGAGGAGACTACGGCCTGGACAGGGAAGTATTTGGATGTTTCTGGTCCCCAGGAGGCGGCACCATTGTGCCTGTGGACGGGGTCCACAAGACAGAGGCCCCAGAGAGCCCACCAGCAGCTCCCCCAGCTGAAACGATGCATCCAGTTCCCTAAAAGCAGGATCCTTCTCTAAAACTCCCAAAGCTTCTGTTCCAGACACCTCCCCAGGCATCTAAAAGTTGGAGAAATTGATGTTTTAATCTTGGGCTGGAAAAGGAGAGAAAGAGCCCCTCACCAAAATCTCTGATTTGAGAAGATAAACAAGGGTAGAGATTATACATGCAGTTTCTACTTTCTACTCAATTTTGCTGCTAATAGTGTCCTAAATATATTAAATCCAAATTGAGTATAATAGTGCACAGCTCTAATCCCCACTACTTGGGAGGCTGAGGAGGAGGATCACAAGTTCAAATCCAGCTTGGCCATTTAGTGAGACCATCTCTCAAAATTAAAAAAAAATTTTAAAGGGGGTGGGGTGGGGCTATGACTCAGTGCAAGCTCAGTCCCCAGTATCACAACTTCTCAACTGCCATCTCGAGTCTGGAATGAGATGAAATTCCAATTCCAAAATTTGTAGGGCTGCGAAGAGCCAAGGGAAGCGCCACACGCTGAATATCACTAATGGAGACGGCAGAATGTGCCTCTTCTCTTAGAATATTTTCACAGGGGTCAAATGTG